AGACTCTTCCTAAAGGGAAGGCATTTCTTCTCAAGAATAAAAATAGTACATTGAACGTGGCGTTCTTCTAAAAGCTTCAAATTATGGGGGTACATTTATTTACGCTTTCATAACAACCCCTTCATATTGTAAAATCAGGTATTATTTCCAAATTTTTGTGCAGTAAAACTATGGCGCTCAGGGGTGGTGGAGGACTCACGATCGGGGGCACAGCCGAACTAAGGTGCGAGCCCCCCACCCCCACCTCCCAACCCCAGGCCATCAGGAAACCGGAGAGGCAGGAAGCAGAGTGCAGACTCCACAGCCAGATGGTCCAGGCCTTGGTTCTGCTGCGAGGAGCTCTTTGAACAGGAAGAGTTATTTAGCCTCTCTTGGGCCCAGTTTGTTCTGGTTTTCAAATGTACAAAGCTTCTAGCTCAGTGCCTGGAACAGAAGCAGTCCTCAGGAACTAGTACTTTCCCTTTGCTTTCCAAATACTTGTTTCTCTGCCTCCCCGTCACCCTCTCCAGGTGGATGTCCAATTTAGGCATTTCACGTTTAAAGGGTCCCCCACCAAAATCTTCCTCGCGCAGCCGTCGTGCAGTCTGCGTGGCGGCTTACGCAGCCTGCACTCTGCTCTCTCTCACCCCCACATCCAACCAGCAGAACATCTTGATGCCTCCCCCTCCCAGACGTACCCCTACTATGACGAGGTCGTCACCTGTGCTGCTGCACCCGGGTCCCGGGGCTGCCCCGTCTCGGAAATGGTCTCCTTGCTTCCTCTTATGCTCAGATGGGCAGCCAGGATGACCCATTAAAAACATCAAACAGGTCCCATCACTCCTGCTCAAAGCTGCACAATGGCTTTCCCTCAGCACTGAAGGGACAGCCACAATCCTCCCTCTGCCTGACGAAGGAGGCCTCCCGGATCTGACCCATCAGCCCGCCATCCTTCCTGAGCCCCCTCCATCCTATTGCTCAAAGCTGCCAGGCCACAAGACTCCCAAAACTTCACATTTGCTGTTCCTCATGCCTAGGACACTATTCCACTTTCCTCTAGGCACCCTGGCATGCCTGTTCTCTCAACTTCTTCAGGTTTCTGCTTACATGTCACCTTTTTCTTTTCTTTTAGAGAAAGAGAGGGGGGGGGAGATAGAAGGAGGGAGGGAGAGAGAGAGAGAGAGAGCACGCAAGTGTGAATGGGGGTGGAGGGCAGAGGGAGAGGGAGAGAATCTTAAGTGGACTCCACGTTGAGCATAGAAAATGACACAGGGCTCAATCGCATGACCCTAAGATCATGACCTGAGCTGAAATCAAGAGTCGGACCCAACCGACTGAGCCACCCAGGCGCCCCACATGTCACCTTTTTTGTAAGAGCTTCCATTACCACCGTATTGAATATTAAAACAATGCGTGTGCCCATAGAGACATTCCTCATCTGCTTTCACCAATTTCCTCCAGAGCAAGCACTAATCACCATCGAATATGTTATATATTTCACTTGTTTATTGTCAGTCTTCTCCCTACTCAAATATACACTTGCCAGAGTAGGGGCCGAGTTTCTCTTATTCTTGCAACATTCCCAACAGTCAGGAAACAGTTTGGCCCCTACGAAGCTCAGTTCCATGACTGAACGGGCGGCTCCTTACTCTCGCCATCTGTGGCACATCCAATTCTTTTTGCTGAGAATCAGTGGATCTGAAAATTCTCCAGCAGTTGCACATGGTGATAAGGGTGCAGACTGCTGACGTCGGGAGGGAGGCACCTGCCATTTAGGGGAAGTCAAGGCTCCAGGGACACGTGGACATCCCCAAGAAGCACACAAAGTTTTCCATGGCAGAGGGGGGGGGGGGGGCTCCGAAGCCCTTACTAAAAGGCTTCTTACTAGAATCCCCATGTAAGGGATTTAGAGGAGGGGGATCTCAAAGCACTATTACGGAGTCAAGCATATGGGATCTGAACACAAGAGCCCCAGATAACCAGCTGTTGTAAAACAGAGAAAAATGAACAAGGCCAAAAACTGCACTGGTGTCACTCAAAATGTTTACGGTGAAGGATGCCAACTGCAATTGCCTTTATGAGAGAGGAAACTCTCCCTTTTGGATCAGAGCTTTCTAAATTCGTGGGTCTGTGCTCAGGTGCTTTCTTCCTGTTCCATGACCTGGCTGCTAATCGTTCCAGTTTAGATAAAAAATAATTACAAAACAATAACAAAACACCCCTAAAAAACCAACCCTGTCCAAAAGAGTGCCATATGGAGAAGAGAGGAGCTTACTTATCTTCCTTTCACCTCCGTATTTTCCGAGAAAAGTTAAGAGTGGGCATGGGAAAACCTCAGATGTTTTTACACTCCTTTGCTGGTGGTAAGATAAAAATATAAGGCAGACTGCGTTGTTTGTGAGCTCCTTGAAGGCAGGTGCTGTGTTCTGGACAGTTTCAGGTAACAGTAGCATCTAATACATTCTTCTGCACAGCAGGGGCCTAACAAGTGCTAGAAATAAACCAACACGAGCACGAACAAATACGAACAAATAAAACGCAGCCCATTAACTCAGTTCCTTGCATTCAAGTGCTCCCATCCCTGTCCTGACCTTGGCCCATATACTCTGCTCTGCCCCAGGATCCCAATCCTTGGGCCAGCAAGCACCTTGGGAGCCTCCCCTTCCACAGATGATATGGGGGAATTTAACACCACGATTATACTATTGTTGTTATTGGCTTCAGAACCCCACCAGCACTCCGGCAGGTCCTAGCTGGAACAGAATAAATGGGATTTCCCAGCTACAACACTACAATTAGTGACCAACTGTTCCAGGGAGTTTGCTGGGTTACACTTCTCCAAGAGAGACTTGTAGCTTTAAATGCATATTACAGGTTGCGTTTCTGGGGAAAAGGACTCTGATATGGAAGTCAGCATGCAAGAGGTTAATTTAGGGAGTGGTCTTGGGAAAGGCATCTGAAAAGGGAAGGTGAGAGACAGGCAGAGGGACAAATCCAGCTATGACTGGGTTGTCACAGCTGACCCCGCAAGATTCCACATTCCCCAGGAAGGCCCCGTGGCCAGAGGCATGTGACTCTTCACCTGTGGCCCTACCCCAAGGGGCCGATGGCTGGGGGCCATCTGCAGGGCTGCACTCCCAGGAACTGGAGTCAAAGTCCTTTACTCCCAAAGGGGAATGTGGGCACTCACCGCACACAGCCCCTTCGCCTCTCCAGCAAGTCAGAGCACGATGACCACCTCCCCTGTGATGCCCTCCCAGCTGCCTTCTCCGATCCCCTCCAGGAGAGGTGGTAACTCTCATTCTTGCTCATCTCTTTATTTCCAGAGCCCAGCATACCAGCGACACCCAGTAGAGATCCAATAAACGTCTGCTGAATAAACACATCACTGAATACTGGACATAAGTGTGAAAATGTGAGTATCACAGAATTATTTTTTAAAAACTGTTGCCCAGCGGTGCCTGGGTGGCTCAGTCAGTTAAGCGTTTGACTCCTGACTTCGGCTCAGGTCATGATCTCAGGGTCATGGGATCGAGCCCCACATTGGGCTCTGTGCTGGGCATGGAGTCTGCCTGGGATTCTCGCTCTCCCCTCTGCCCCTCCCCGCAATTAAAAAAAGAAAAAACAAAAAACCTGTCCCCAAGGAGTTCAATGCAGTCAGAAAAACAAGCAGAAATGATGGGGGAACTTGAGAAGAGATGCACACAGAAGCATATGTATGTGCATTCTGGTCTCAACCCGGCATGCCTTCAAGCTTCAATTTCCTTGTGACTCGAAAGGACAGATCCCAACATTCTATGAAGAAGACACCAGAGCTGAGACACACTCAGTTTCAACAGTTTTGCTAAATGACGTCTTTCTTAGTGTCATTACTGACACGGGTAAGGAAAGTAAGTTTTGATCCTGACAAGGGAAAGAGCCTGAGTGCCAGAGTGTCTCCCCCATGATATGCTGAGGACTTTTTTTCCAATTAGCCTAGAGCTAAGAGTCCCCTCCCACCCCCCACCCCCCTAAAAGAAGCAGGCAGAGACTGCAGTAGGTGAGGAATTTACTCTTCTGTCCATGAATGGAAACAGACACCAACTGGAATATCCTGTGATTTATGAAAATGCGGTGATTTTATATCACTGAGTAGTATTTCACCTTCATAGGATAAGGAGCTACAGAGAAGCAGGAGGAGAGATTTTAAACACGGAAGCCAGAATGCAATTTTAAAAAGAAAACTAAGAAATAAAGAAAAAAAGCTCACTCCCAAATTTATCTCTCATTGCATTTGTCTAATATAGAGAAGAACTTGTAAGAATGCAATTTTAAGGAAGACATCTGGAAGGGGGATTAAAATAAAAGCCCAAGACTTGTGCTAACTTGTCACTTCTCCCATGCATCCATGCCAGAGTCAAGTAACACCTACTGGGCTCACAATTCCCCACCACATAATCTCATACACCTTGAGGCAGTGACAAGAACTACAGTGATGGCTAAGAAAAAACTAACCAGACAAGAAGGAATGTCTTATAAAGTCAAACTTATATAAATACCTCCTTAAAGTGATAAACCACAACATTAATGAAAGCAAAAGCCGTAAGAACATTTTCCAACACTATAATCAATACCCATCTCCACCAACTCAAAGGCCTTTCTCAGCAATCAAAGCATCATTTGATTTAAAAAAAAAAAACCCAAAACTGATAAATGCAGGTAAGTCAACACTCAATTACCTGCATACAAAATATACACATTTGACATTTATCTCTTACAAAGCATCCTAAATTGGGTTCTTCCTATAAACACCAACATGACCTCTTCATTTACTAAAGAAACGCAAACCAATTCCAGTTTGATTAGAACATGCTTCAAATGCCAGTAGAGTTGATACTTAACTAGATTTGTAACTCCTTGTCCATTTCATCAGCATGACCTCATTAAATGCGGGCCTCACATTAAAAAAAAAAAAAATACAATCACTCTTCTTGGCATGACAACACCTTCAAAAATACTAGGAAAAATGTGGCTACAATTACCTTTGAATTTGTGGAACACGGCCCATAGCTCTGCAATGTCGGTCGCAAAGGTGATATCTGTGTCAAGGACAATGACCCTCTCCAGGTTGGCAGGAAGAGTCTTGGTCAGGACGAGCTTCATCAGACCATAAATGCCAGAGTAGTGTTTGTTGGGGATCCAGGACACTTCAGACTACACCAGGCAGGGAAGAGGAGTAGAAAAAAGGAAAAAAAAAAAAAAAAGAATCATTACATTCATTTTTTTTTGCATAAACATTATAAACAGTGCCTGGGACATAAAAAAGCATTCAATAAAAATTTGCTGAGTAAATGAATATTTTCTTAAATATTTGTTTATGTAATTTATGGTTTGGCATGTGAAGTTTATTGGAAGAAAATGCATCTGAATCACGGGACAGGAAAAGCAATACTTATGAAATAACTATTATTTGCAAACGCTATGCTCAGATTTTTTTAAAATAAAATTTTTCTTATAGAAATTATATAGGCTCACTGGAGAAAAGAAGACTATGTTACAAAAGAATAAAAGTATAAAAATTGGATCATACTCTATTTTTTTTTTTTTTTGCAAACAGTATCTAATTGTTCCAAGGTAGATCTATTTCTTTCAATCATATTCTGTTTGTCATTAAAGATTGCTACCTTAGTGGCCTCGTTCAAGCTTATGCTTATCTATTTTTTTTTTTTTTTTTGAGCTGTAATTGAAGCAATTAGTGTTGCTCTGTCTCCTGGTTCTCAAGCACACAAAAAGGACTTGGTCAGAAGCTACGCAACACTCTTCACTGGGGAAGAAGAGAAGACACACCCACAGACAGTAATGAACAGCCTACGGAGAGTCAGCACTGAAATCCACGATGTAATAGGACAACAAAGGTCCCACAAGTGGGTACAATCTGTCAGCAAGTCACACATCTCGGTACCACTTGGTACCCAAAGGCAAGGCTGAAAATAATACATAATACTAGGGTGCTGAAAGCTCTCAAAGGAACAGGTCATATATGAAAGTAACCATGGGTACGGACTCCATCCTGGCTGCCCCAGGGAGCTGCCATCCATCCAAGCCAAAGCACACTTATTTTCAAGAAGTTAACACTGATAATGGAACCCTTCAGCGGAAAATGTGGCCGCCTTATTGAGATTCCAAAAAACGTTCACCCCTTTTGTCCTTGTAATTCCATTCTGAGGACATTGTTCTAAAAAAAGTCACATTTAAAAACAAGAAAGTAGTTTTATTCCCAGAGATGTTCATCATCATGTTATAAAAGAAACAATCCAAATGCCCTGAAACTGGACAGTTAATTAAAACATGCTTTTTTAAATCTGATAGCATGAGCAATCTAGAGCTATAAGCAATCTAGAGGAGGATGCACCAAAAAAAAAAAAAAAAATCTTGCACGTGACGTTAAAAGAAAAAAGGTAAGTTTTAAAATTTCTTTTGCTTAATAACCTCAACGTATAATCAAACAACATGAAAACACATCCATCCAAATTTCATGCTAAGAAAGAAGAAACAGAAGCATGGAATCATAATACTAATAGTGGTCATTTGGGGACGATGGGTCCCTCCTCTAGATAAATAGATATGTATACACCCACACACCGCACATATGTATTTTATCATACCTTTCAACTTTTTAAAATGAGCAACTACTATCATTGTAAAGAAAAACTAAGCACTGCATTCTTTTTAAACATACCAATATTGGTGATGGTGGGAAAACAGGGACAGAGACACTGCCTTAGGAAAGCCATGACAAAGGACCCCCCGTGGTGACTCACACGATCCAGCCCGTCCCTCAAATCCACTCCATGTTCTGTGTTCATCTTCAGTTTATTGAAGATGAAATGGTATTTATTTGAAAATACCATGGCAGCTACTCCTTATCCTTTCAATACATCAATACATGTGCAACTTTGACTGGTGGGCGGCGGGGTGGGGAGAAAAAACATAAACCGGTGGACAAAACTGTTCATCACGTGTCGGTCTCAGGAAAGAACCTTGAACTCTGTCTGTTGTCCTCATCACCGTGTTCCCGGGCAGCATGGAGGAAGGAAAGCAGAGACAAAAGCCAAAGTCTGAACCCCAGCCCCATACAAGGCATTGGTCTCTCTAAGCCCTGGTTCCTTTCCCTATAAAAAGGAGACGATGCTTCCATGGCATGGTTTGTGGAAGAATCAAAGGAGAGGGGAGGACGCCAGGGTTCGGCCCACAGAAGCTCCCACCCTTCTCCTGACTCCCCCTCAGGGTGTTAGGTGTTTGCTTCATACTGAAGGGGGTGCGGCACAGTGTTAAACCTCGGGTTCTGGAGTCAGGCAGAGGCGGATTCAGATTCCGATGTCACTTAATGGCTGCGTCACCTTGGACAAGTTCACCCGGGCTTTCTGAGTTTCCGTCGTCTACGAAAGGCAGTGACTTGTGCTGTGTGTTGTCTGTATCAGTCAGGGGGTGGTGGAAACAGCACACTCAAACTGGGTGATCTGAGCAAAATGGGATAATAAAGGAACTATTGACTGAAACGGCTGCATAATTTAGGGCCAGCAGCAAGGAACCGTGTTGCACCTGGGAAGACGTATGAATAAACCACGAGGCAGGAGCCGTGGACTTCGGTGGAGGGCCACAGCCAACTTGTGGCAATGCCACGGGCCAGAGCAGGGAGAGGTCTCTCACTCAGTCTCTCTCCCCTCCCGCCCACCCCTCTCCCGCTGGGGCGCCCCTCCGTACAAACCCAACTGGATGCAGAGGGAACGTGATCTCAACCTGTCACCGAACCGAACGAATGATGGCAAAACTACAGCTCAAGGCCTTCTGCTGAACTGATGCACCACGCTGTCTGTGAGGTGGGCGCATGGGCGAACGGAAGGATGGACAGGTGGGTAGATGGGCAAATGGCACAGGAAGGTGAGTGATTTGTCTACAACCCCTCAGTGGGTAAGATGCAAAGCGATAGTCAGAATCGGCCAAGGGAGGGTTTGCCTTCCTTCCCCAAGCCACATCATCCTTCCTTTCGAGCTAGCATCCTGACTCGCCATCAGCTTAGATCTGAGGGCTGGGGGCTCCTCGAGTTAAGGGCCTCCACTGGGCTTTAAAAAACTCTTCCTCATGAAAGCTCCAGCCTTTGGAACTCAGCTCAGCTGCTCCTCTCCCCTGAGGATGAGCCTGAACTGAAGCTTGGCAATCATAGGTCCATGCGGCAGAGCTGTGCTATTTAATCAGACCTTTGATTAACTTATTCATCTATTTTGGTTACCATCAAAGCAGGAGAGCTTGGTGAAGACTGAACACCAGAGCGTTGGGTTGAGCCATCTAATTAGATTGCCCTGACTCTCAGCTTTATTTTTAACACACATGTGAGGCACTCAGATGCATCACCGAACAGTAGGACGACAGGAATAAATTAATCTCAACATGAGCCCAGGCCGGAATGTCGCCCCAAGTCCCTGACTTAATACATAATCAATTAAGTCAGAGTGTTCAATTAGAGGTAAAGGAAGCATTCGGATGAGTTTGTATTCAGAGAGAAAACCCTAGGAAGAAAACCGAGGAATCTATGGGGGTAAAGAACGTATGGTAAGCAGCAGATACATTTATTATAAATGGCCCTCTCTCTTAGAAGTACAATATGTCCCCCACCTCTGCCTTAGTCTAATCCTGCTCTTCTTTCAAGCCTCAGCTTAGAAGACACCCCCCCGCCCCCCATCGCCACCTCCCCAGGGCCCCAGGCTGGGCAGGGGCTCCTTGAGCAAGCTGCCTCCCTTCCTCTAGCACAGCACGCTCTCACGCTGTGTCTAATTTTCCATGTCTCTCGCCAGCTCTGGGCTGGAACTCCCTGAAGCAGGGACGATGTCATTTTTGCTGTAGTAACAACATAGTCATTACTCAAAACATGTTTGATGAACGCGTATGACTGCAGAGCTGACCAGGCCTGGGTTTAAACCCTACCTTTGACGTTTTCTGCAACCAGCAGCAGAAACATCCGTAACTGCTGTAGCCCAGGGTCGGTCTGGTGCAACGGGAGAGGCGTGCCTTGTTGAGCTCCGACGCCTGCGCTTTAGCACCAGTTCCATCATTTTGCCTCTGTGAGGCTTTGTTTTCTCATCTGCAAAATGGGGGCTTGGAACACTCACTTTGCAATACTGCTGGGAGAATGGCAAAGCATCCAGCCTGATGCTGGGCGCCCAGCTGGCCTCTGCAAAGGCCACTTCTCTCAGTGAAGGTCTGGTCAGCACTATGCAGGCTCAGATGATTCGGGATGTTGAGTTTGATAAGAGCAGGAAATGATGCTACCTTTGATAGTAAAGGGGAAGATGGTTTTGTTGGAGGAAAAGAAGTCACTCATCACCTCTCCCTATATTCCTAGATTATTTTTTTAAGATTTTTATTTTATTTATTTATCTGAGAGACAGAGAGACAGAGATAGAGGAGGGGCAGATGGAGAGGGACAAGCAGACTGAGTGTGGGGCCTGAGTGGGGACTCGATCCCATTACCCCAAGACCTTGACCTGAGCCAAAATCAAGAGTCGGATGCTCAACCAACTGAGCCACCCAGGTGTCATAGAATTTTTTTTTTTACGATTATTTACTTATTTTAGAGAAAGAAAGGGAGGAAGGGAGGGAGGGAGAGAGAGAGAGAACACAGCAGGAGGGGGAGAGGGAGAGAGAATCTTAAGCAGACTCCCCGCTGACACGAAGCTCGACGTGGGGCTCAATCTCATGGCTCTGAGGTCATGACCTGAGCTGAAACCAGGAGTCAGGGCTTAACCAACTGCACCACCCAGGTGTTCCTCCTACAGAGATTAACAAAATCACACACTGAGATCTTGGAAACTCAAAGCCTCCTCTGGTAGATCTCCACGTTGGACTGTATACCTTTGGTTTTAGGAAGAAATACCTACTAACACAAAGGAGCGTAAGCAATCCCAGGTTTTAAGGGTTTCTTTGCAGAGTAGGAAGCAGGGGATGCTCCCAAGGGAAAAGTCACCTTCCCCAAACTGCCAGTTCCTTGGCAGACAGACCCCAAGGGGAGTTTCTATGAAGTGCTGCAGGGGATTTTAGGGTTCATCTGATGCTGGGTGGTCCACAGAGAAGTTACTCAGAAAACCTGGCCGGGGTTGTAACATGAGCATGGAAGGGTGTGAAGGAAGGTGATGTATCAACATGATGCCAGGTTTCCC